AAGATTCTGATACTGAAGGAGTGAACAAGGAACGTGAGAGATTCTGCCAACAAAGAGCAACAAATACATTGTGGAAGGTGGTACAGACCGATATAATGGAGCGGAAAATTGCAGCAATGACTTAATGGGGACATCAGAGCCTTCATAAAAACACGGAAGGAGTCCGTTCGGTCGAGATTCTCCTTGGCATTGCACCTCCAGGAAAATACAAAGGAGGTTCTGGTGGAGATCCGCCAAGGAAGAAAGGGGAGGAGACGATTTGATACAAGATTCTCCTTCGCCGAGGGAGGAAGCAGAGGCTTTTGCGTGGTTCCGCGCGAGCAACAACCTGTGAATGAGTATCAAGATTTGACTCATTTCTTGCTGTTCACGTGAGCGACAATTGATATTTGAAAACATGTTTTGAGGTTGGCTGCGATTGGAGGCCTGAGCACTTTGGTCATTTGTTGGCCAGTATCCGTAGTGAGCATCAATGCCAGTGAAAAGCCGGTTAAATACGTAGTCGGAGCTCTCTGCAGAGGTGTTGGAGCTTCGACGCTTGCTGTCATGAAATTGTACCTGGCTGGGCTTACGTGAGAAATCGTCTGTTAAGTGTGACCGTGGAAAATAAGAGTAGATTGGAAGAGCAATTGTCCAAAAAACTATAAGTATAAGAGGAGATTCTACTCTTCATAATGTATCAAAGAGAATTATCCTGAAACAGGTGTTCTAAGGAGGGTACACGGTTCACTCCCCTTTGACACAAACAGACTGCGGGGACTGTTAGTCTACTGTTAGTTTACACCCTGAGTTTTGTACTTCTGTGTTGTTCCTCTTGATCGCGGTATGAAAACCAATTTGCCATTCTATTTTCCCAATATGTGAGTGAAACTGAATACTTTACTGTAACGTTACGTTATCTTGTTTGAGTAGAAGTTTTCTCGCTTTAGAATCACTTCACCTCTGCAGCCACGCTGTGTAGACTTCACAGTAACTGACGGTTGGTTTAAAGGTCAAGGAAGACGAGCTTCTCCAGAAATATTTTTCCGACACAGGGTGTTTTGGATTCTGTATCCTGGATATATCGATCTCCCTTTAACAATTAACCGAAAGAGGAAACGATGGTTGAATTAACTGAAATCGAAACATGGCTTTCGGGCGTTCGGCCTCTCTGGCAGCAGTACTTTCCACAAAAGAGCGGAGAGTGCGGCCGACAGTTTTGATCCAGGGACGATGAGCTAATCTAAGCCGTAAAGGACTTGACATAAGTAAAGGACAAAGTAAAGGACCTTCGGCAGCTGAACTGAAGCGGATTTGTTATACTGAGTAAGTTATGGTATGTACTTCTACGTAGTGTTGGAGCGCTAAGAATACAAAGTTGGCAGGAGAAGTTGAGTATACTGCCGAGAACTAGAGGTACACTATGCTTCACGTATATTCCACTAGGCAGTGAAGATTGTTATTTATTGTTTGTGGCTGAACTGCGAGGAAGGCTTGTGACTTTACAAGGGGTTGTGCCGCCGAAGAGGTTGTATATTCAGGGCATGTTTCTACAGGTGATTTGGATAACATCAAACAAGCTACAGATGTTGCCTATAAAGTAGTTGCGGAGTACAGTCTTAGCTTCAGTATTGGGCCTATGTCCCTTGCAACTCTCTCCAGCGAAGAGCTAGAGGACTCGGGATTAGCTTTTTCGTGGGTCAAAGATCAGGAGCATATGGTTGACCTAGTGCAACGAGAGATGAAGTCACTCTTCCATCCTGCCCTCGCAATGGCTTTTTTAATCATTTGAACGAACCTTGTTGTTTTAAAGAGGTCTTGGTTTAGATGCAGCTGGTGAAATTAGAAAATCTGGTAAAAAGGCATTATTACTGAAGAAACCAAAGCGGAACGTGAGAACAGTTAAGGTAAAAGAAGTCTCTGATATTCCAACTGTTTCAAACGTGATGAGTTTAGCTTCAGAAAGCATTAGTAGAGTAGCAAATACGTCGTCAGGCTCACTGGAAGCTATGGTGCTAGTGTAAAACTATTGAAGTTGTTTAATAGTTTTGGTGTTAAATTGTTTTTAGTTCTAGGAAACTAGTGGCCACACATAGCTGCCACTAGTAGGTTGATTAACTTTTTTATGTCAACTCGCTGTTGCTTAGAGAAGTTTTCTATAGATCAAAGCATATTTGCTTGGTGGATGTACAGTGCAATCTGAAAGAAAAAAAAAAAAGTAAGGGGTTCAAAATTATAAGAAACTCATCTAAAGAGACCGGAAATTTGCATCCAGTCTCACCTACTATAGTTGTGAATTTGAAGTGAAGTAGCTAGGGTTTAGTTACATTTCCTCTCCAACTCATAGTATAAAGTGGAGGATCGACTGCACAAAAGAAGACAAAGTTTCAATTGTTGATGAATTGGTGACCATCTCACTGCTGGAGGCGTGAGAGAAGAAGACAAGGAGCAGCATGAGTGGGTGAACTTCTGCGCTGCATGTGACCTTGGAGGCAAAAGTTGATAGCGGGCGATGGAGATCAAATCGGGATCGCGATGCGAGGCAATGTCTCGTGTGTGTTGTCTCGTTTTGTGTTGTGTTTCCTTTAGACTACAGAATCGTTGCTAGCTGTTTGCTTGTGTTTGGATTCTCTCCAGTCTTGCTTCCTAGTGTGCGCTCGTGTAGGGGTGACGTTGATTTTTGGAGTAGTTTTACTCCTGTGTGTTGTCGATAGTGAACTGGACTTGATCACCGGCCGGCATATCTATGTTTCTCTCACGGTGAGACTGGATTGATGGCCAGTAAACCGTAAGAGTCTTCCTGCGGTGATGACAGGTTAGGTTGCTCATACCCCTTAGCTAGTAGGGCTAGAGTAGCTTAGTGCGGCACAACATCAGATGCGGATAGGGTTATTGTGGGAAGGTCTTGCAGTGGTGCCAGTTGAGTTTTCGTCATCACGTAGCAGTTTAGTGGTCCTGTTGAGGACCGTGGTGGATTTACGCGGAGTATGTTGAGGTATCGGCTACCTTCACCTATTTTGCCAGTTGTTGCGGAGGAAAACCAGGATGTTGCAGACACAAAGTTTTTGGTGGTGATATCGTCAAGTGTTCCAACCCCATTGATTTGGGACATGGACGGGATGTACGGGGCTGTGAAGGGCCCTCGACAGTACTCTAGTGCAGTGGGCACCATCGAGCTCGATGACTTTCTTCAGGAGTTTGACACGTGGTGTGATATGCAGTTTTTGCGTAACCCCACGTTGTTTACTTCCTTCTTTGCATGGAAGGGGTTATTTCAGCGTGGAAGGGGCCTCTCATGGACGAGTATTATGAGTTTGGAAGAGAATATGTTGCAGAGATTGATGTATGGAGACGTCATTGGTCTCCGAACTCTTTATCCATTACCCAGGGTGCGTCTTCCAAACGCTTTTTACAAGAAAGACGATTTGCTTGACAATGAGCTTTACAACCGGGATTTCTTTCACCAAATCCATACACAGATTGTGGATTGCATGTGGTGAGCAGCCGAACGCAAACAAAAACTCAATGTCCTACATACAAAGGCGGCGCAGCTTGATCATGAATGACGGCAAATTAAAGCATAACATGAACATCTGTGCTCCACAAAATGCTCGTTCAATGTGGCATTCTGCTGCGAATCGGTATCGTCATTACCAGCATCGGAAATGACGAAGTGGCCAACAAAGCTAGGTGCAAGTTCGCAAATCATGAGTAGCAGTCGGCGCGTGCAGTCGACCTCTAAGCTAATCGACCTTTCGATTAGCTTTTTGTAAAGGTATTCAGCACTATCTCGAAAAAGCTCAATTGAGAAATGTTCCAAGAAAAAAACCATTGGCCCGCACGCCATCATGTTTACGATCTGCTTGACTTGAAGGTTTGCTCTAAGGCGCCGTCTAAGGTCAGGCAGACCATGACGAACTGCTTCAGGTTGGGTACAACTTCAGCCATAACGTCTTCATACTCTATACGCAATAGGTTGCTGTCGATCGATTCGATGGAATGGACTGGAAGGGGTCATGCAGAGGGTGGAAAAAATCTTGTAACTTATCATGCTCTCGAAGGCCTTAAACGGCATCGCCGTGTGATGAAGTGCGCGAGCAAACAATTTGCATAGACGCTCATGTTCTTACTTTGTCAAATAGTCAAAATGAGCGCGCCAATTGCTAAAAGTGTACAACGAGGTCGTGACGTCGCCATTGTGTTCAACAATGGAAGGATTGCCGGAGTATAATATCGCCGTTTGGTCTTCTTGCGGGGCGGCACAGTGAAGCCTAGGTTAAGCTGCCCAATGGAGCGAGCGCGCTTCGGGTAGCTTCAGTACTTTGAACAAAGACGTTCATTGCAATGTTGCCTAGTATGGAATGTTTTCACAGATGTGTCTAGTCGTGTCTAACAAACTGAATGTAACAAAGAGTTCGTACCTTTATGTATTAGTACAGTTTTATCTCTGAGCTTTTAGAGCTTAGTTCATCATTCATCCAAGAAGAAGTGCAATTATCCATTCCAGTCACATGTATTTATATTAGCCAGTAACTTAACATCTAATCATCTTAAACCAAATATAGATTTGAATTTATCCATATCTAATGCATATCACGCCAATTATTCATCATCCTTGCAATAATAAACATCACCTGCGAGTTCTTGGTGAGCTGCATTCATGAATAGATTGCATTTGGCCCTTGCGGTCTTTCCAGGAGTAACACCCAAGATGCATTCATGGGGACGAAATAATATGATGCTTTTACGGGAGAGGGTCTATTTGACTCTCTCCCGTAATGAGCAAAAGCAAAATAATTTTGCATTGATTTATATTTACACCAAATCGTCTTATTATAGATTGTTATTTTAATCATGCGATAGAAAACCTGGCTCCATAGTGTTATTCACGTTGAAACTTGAAGGTCTAAATGGAAATTGGAGATTTTGATGATCCCAATCAATCTCTGACTCCTCGCACTCGTCCCCAAGTAGGTGGTACATGCAAGTAACTACGTGTATGTAGAATTGGAATAAAACTGTCTAAAAATGCACTGCAATCTCGTAAAGACACTCATTCATGCGTCGCAGTCTTGGCTTCTACAGAGAGTTTGACGTGTTCGACTGTTGGTGTGCCGAATTCTCGCCGGACTGAAGAGGATCGCAGGAATTTGGACCTGGGGACTGACGCAATCCAAGCGAACCGAGCTGACACTGGGCCCGGAGGGTGCCTTTGGGAGATCGGTTTGTCTCAAGGCTGCTCGTCGCAGCTGACGATCGAGGAGCAGCGAATCAGGAATCAGAAATTTGCAGATCGTCGGTCGCCCTGCTGCGGTCTCTGCACAATTGGTCACAGAGAAGATTCATAGCACGGATTCGATGACAGGAGAAGACCAAGATGAGGGTAGCCTGCATCTTGCTCCTTGTTCGTTTGTTCGCAACTGGTCTCTGTCCCTCGCTCTCTCTCTCTCCCTCTCGGTGTAGGAATCGCTTCCCACAATAGAGCTGTGAACAGACAGCCTAGATCGTCTTCGATACAGAATGAACCTGTTGAAGTATGTTGAGATTGGTTTTCTCTTGAAGCTAGATGATATCGAATTCAGTTTAAGCCTCGATTCAGGAGGCCACGAAGGCGGTGACTTGAAGCAGCTGGCGTTCGTTTCCTCACGATTCTGTCCAGTCTGGAATCGCAAATCATATTTTCAATCGAGCAAGCTTCTGTCACCCAGGCCTAATTCGATCCCCTGTATACCATTCTGACAGGGAGACAGGTCATCGGCGAGAGTGGGCCAACCATGAGTACTGTGAGTGTCCCAACTGTTCGTTTGGAGCATCGAGTATCAGCTTTCTTTTTCAGCCCGTATTTGTCACACTCGCACACCAGCGAAGCACCCGATCATTCACCACTTCCTGTAAATTTGGAAATTCTCCAGGATTTCGAAACGGAGGTATTGAAGCCTGCCGTACATCAAGTTGCTGGTCATGGATCAAAGAGTAAGTCTCGGGGAAAATCTGCCATATCTGGACTTCCTTTGTAGCTCAGAGAAAGTGTGAATGCCTGAATTACTTCGCTCTGAATTTATGTTCATCTGAACTCTTCGCGAATTCTGGTCAATGCTCCATCCATGTAGGTGTAACGCCTTGTTGCAATTTTCTTACAGCACGATGATTGTTGCGTTACCGCATTTTGATCAAAGAGTGGCTGAGCTTAAGATCAATGTGTTTTTAAGCCTGTAAATCTGCAATGTGTTCTGAGCCCATTGACCTCTGTTGCCCGGAGAATTTCAAGTTTATTTAGCTGCTGGATTGTAAACCTGCACACTTGATGGCCATGTGTAGGTAGTGGGCGCCAAGGACCAGTTGTTGATGAATCCGGCCGCCGTTTCTTCAAGCCTTTACATGAAGGTGATGAGAGAGCAGATCGAGAAATAGCGTTCTACGACAAGATAAAACATGACGACAGAATTCCGGCTGAAGTCAAGGCATTTTTTCCCGCATTTTATGGGACAAAATTTCTACCATCCGTGGATGGGCAGGGATTAGTCAATATCCTACTGACAGACAAGTTATATTCTGACATGCAGTATGTAAAGCACGTGTTGGTGTTTCTAGATATTGTTCGAATGCGTAGAAACGAGTGCACTAGTATTTTCGAGGGTTGCTAAGAAGGCGGTAGGATGTGAATTCGTCGGTTTTGTGTGGACCTTGAAGCCCTCCGGAATGAGGAACTTTTGATGACTTACGCCATGACTTAGGCATGTTGTTGGTCTGTCTGTGGATTATGGCCACGAGTGAAATTTATGTTCATCGAGTGATCCTTGACGACATTCTCAACGACATGGGGTAATGGAGAATCTGACTTACGGGTTCAAAATGCCCTCGGTGACGGACGTCAAGGTTCCTCCTCAGACACCTTTGTCTTACCGTCAAGATGTGTGCTCGACCTAGCATGGCGTTCCCTATCAAGTTCACAACTTTTCTCCTTCTGCTGATCTCAAAACATGAGGACAGTTTGATTGCACCGGACTCAAGTCCTCAGGAGCTACCTGCAGCACTTGCGCTGTATTGATGAAATCGTTGCTTCCTCATGATGCAGATTGGGTACAGAACTTGGTATCCTGAAGCTACTGAAGCCTACATCCAGAAAGCGAAGTAAAGTCTCAAACCCAGATCCCCACAGCTGAACATTTGTATGTTTCCGAGCGCACTGGATGTTGCAGGTAGCTGTTGGACATGTCTGGGTGAGGTAACCTAGAGTCCAGTGGGGAGTGCCGAGTGACACTGAACACTCACTGACACATGACAATTGAAATGACAGAAAGAAGGACAAGATGACTACTTCTGGAGCTATTGGTATTCGAATATCAGGTTTGCAGGTCAAGAAAGCACCAACTTCTCTGTCTGTGGATTTGATTTGTCGGCCATTTTTTTTCCTGATTTGAACCTTTCCCATCGAAGTCTTCTAAGCAGAAAGAATAGCCTCGTTCTAAAGAATCGTGGAAAGGTGGAAGTAGAAAGAACCCATGGAGAACAGCTCCAAGTTGTAATCCCTGAAGTGCGAACATTAAAGAGCTCCATGTAAGTGTGATGTCGATTGAAGTTCACCTGCTGCTCACTCTATGGTCAACTGGGCCTCTGAGAAATCTGTCCCATGCGCAGGTGTACGAAGCTTCAACGGGCTCTGTTTGGAAGCCAGATCGGGATTGGTGCAGAGACATGAGTGCTGAAATGGTTCGGCCAACCTTGGAGCGCTTTGTTTCTTCCAATCCATCCCTCGAGACTTTTGATGCCGCGTTTGCAGCTGCTGTCTACGGAGGGCCGCACGGTGTCCTTGCCAAACTCCGACAACTCGAAGAGTGGTGAGTCTTTTCCTGATTTTCGTAGCCTCGGCACGGACAAGTTGTTGAACCTCGCTTGTCTCGAAAATGTTGCTATGTGTCGATGTAATAACGAGAGTGAGCGTGAGCCCATTCTTCACGTCAGCTGGGCCGGTGCTTCCGCGAAATCTCCGATCTGATCCGTGCTACCTTCTAACTGGTGGAAAAGGCTTCTGCATAAGTGCTTCATCTTCGCAATTTCACATTGTATGAGCTCTTCCTGGAGCCATCTCAACTAGAGTTGCCCAGTACATAAAATACGCCAAGTGGTATGAGACTGAAAGCACTACTCAGTTAGGAAGATGTCGGTGGACAGGAGAGTCCGAAGGCTTTTCTTAATTTCTACTCGCCCATCGTATTCCCCTCCGTATCTAAAAACTACGAATGCCCCGTCTTTAGTTTTACTCCGAGCCGAGCGTGTCCAGAATCTTTACATGCAGTTTGATGATGCCGATGCCATCAGTTTGGTAACTACTGCCAAGTGTATTACGCCTGAAGATCACACCCTTTCTGCTTTGAGTGAGTGTCGTCGCTTACACGCTTGGCCCATCTGATGAATTGATTTTCTTGCCCTGTGGTGTCTGCCTTGTCCAGGTTCAGCACGCAAACTGCCTACCATTTTACGTCCTCCTCCGTCCTGATTATATACGAAAGCCCTTCCACAACCGCTGGCGATGGCGCTGCGGATGATCAAATAAATGTATCTGTCAAATTGGTCGACTTCGCACATACGGTCGATAGCAACACCGTGGATGATAACTTCTTAACTGGTTTGAAGGCACTGATGAGCATACTTTCGACCATTCTAGAAGAACATGTGGCCCGGCGGTCTAGAATGAGCTGATACTTCGTGAGTTCGATCATTGTGTCACAGGAGTGCCGAAGACTGGACTGTACTGTTATCATGGGTAGCTGCCATTTGATGTTACTCATTTTGTTTTCGATCGTACCTCATTCAATTGCTGTGACAGTGTGAGAGTGAAGTCACTCGAGAATGCAAGTAGCCACTGCTGTGGAACGATGCAATCCTTGCTCGTGTGGTCGGTTTGAAAGCCATGTGTAGTGCAGGTTCCTTCTGTGTATCTGATTCTCCTTGTACGACGTCCAAGTTCCAGATGTTTATTCATAAGTCTACTTTCAATGTCAATTGTAGCGCAGGATCGAAAGGGAACGAAATTCTAGGCCGTTTCGAGACGATCGCTTAGTTCTATAGCTCCACAACCAGAAACCGTAAAGCCGAGCTCTGATAAACTCTACCAGCTACTTCATGCACGGCTGGAGTTGTGTTCCATTGACAGTAAGTGAATGGTTTGGCATAAAATGAGGAATTCCCGCATGCGACAGAGTTCCACCTCTGCAGGTTGGCCGATTCCTCCATGTTTCGTGTGGGTTGCGTCGAGCAATTCCAGCCTTCAGATTTCTCCGCGTAGACAACATCATGTATCCAAGACAAAGTTGTCATCTGTGTTGCAAAGTGCAGAGGACCATTCGTGTGGCCGCGTGAACTTTGTCAAAGGAGACGGAAGTGCGCTCATGACATGGTATAGTGACTCGGGTTAATGTAGAGAGCCTTCGTCCTACATTAAAGTTTTTTTATCTGCATAAACCAACCGCATTCAAATGATGACGATACAAATACACAAAACATTCTACTCACAACATGTCTTGAACCTTTTATTCAATCCTCTATCTTCTACACTTCTGTACATAAGACAACATCTCTTGCTTCTGCAGACCTACCCAGTGGTCCAGGTGAGTCGGTCTCTCAACATGAGTACACTCCGTATGATATGCGAACTTCGACGGTGGTAAGCGCAGAACTAAGAAGTCTTCATTCTTCGACGTTCCCTCTTTAGACGGAGTCTCGTGCTGTCATGGTCCGCTTCTTGGAAAGTGAACCTGAAATTCTCCATTTCTGAGGCATTCACTTCACACTCTGCAGAGACTTGCAAACTGCTCTATCATATGTCCTCTGCCCTGCATCCCCCGGTTGCCGATTCTAAGTTGCATGACCTCCTTGATGGGATGATTCTTGAACGGAGCTGCGCTGTAAGACAACACGACACACTGGGCAATTCGCATGATCCCGTAGCCACTTATCGACGCAGCCCACGTGAAAGGTATGTGTACAGGGGGGAAGTACACGCAGTTTGTCAGATGTGTTGTACTCACTGAGGCAGATGGGGCAGCTGCACACGTCAACCGCAGAATAATAGTTAGTTCGATAAAAGGCTGCGTGGAGAAAATACTACATTATAACGTTGGAACTAGTCATAAAAGTCTTCATGGTGGCAACTGTTGCAAAGGTTAAAGTCAAGCACGTATTAGATTGTTTTTGGAAGATCAAGACAGCTTACTGAGTTTCGTTGAGCTTCAGCTCTTCTTGATACGTGATCAGAGGATAACTTTCAACAACATCTCTCTCCAAGCCCTGTCGCGCAAGAGCAGTCTGGATAGAATAAAAAGAGTGTCAAGTATAGAACAGAAGGATATGATACTACAGCAAACGAGACACCCTCATCGTGCCATTTTATGATTATAATCGAAGATTCGTCCTCAAGAAGAGGCATCCAAGGCAATACTTACATCTTCAACATTTTCAATTGTGGATTGATCAAAAGTTGCAATTGCTTCTCCTCCATTCCACCTATGCATCAGGAACTTGACAATTCCCATAGCCACACAGGCAAAGACAGCGCTCAGGAAGCCCACCAGTATGATAAGAGTCGGCTTCAAAGCTCTCTTGGCGTTCTCTACAGAGTATCACAAGATTCACGCGTCAACATGAAAGCTGACGTCCGGTCCATAATCCATCAAAACACTGCATTCGATTCAAGTACAATCTGCTAAGTTGTGACTCTCGTTTCGTTATCCTCTTTCACGATCCAGGATGTCATAAAGTCAAGACAACATGCTCTGTACAGAAGACAAACTGGTCTCAGAGCTCGGATGCCAGTCTGGACTGAAACATACATCTCGCAGGAAAAACTTATTACCTGATTCTACAAGAAGAACAAGAACTTCAAACGTGGACTCGCCCCGAACGAAGTGATCTGCGTTGAATACGGCGAGGACGACACTTTCATTTGAGCTACCAACATTGTCCAGAGAATATACACTGGAGATGTTGTCAGCAGAAGGTCCGTCAAGCGATTTGAAAGTGTTGTTGATAGGTGTGGGATAAGGCCCAGCCTCGCCCACTAACAAGATGGCGTGGCCTCCGCTACGAGTGAACTCTATTGTGAGACTATTCGTCCCCACCACGTGCTCCAGACTTATTTGATAGTAGATGATTTCTCCTGGTTGCAACGTATCACCGAATGCTTCAAAGAGATCTGCGTACACAACGGCTGCGAGTCACCGAGAAACAAAACGGAGCAACTGCGTTCAGATTTGCCTTCAAGACTGAACATTTTTCTCGACAAGAACAAAACACATTAGTCAAGTGATGTACATCCACTATGCAGCGGTTTGAAACCTTCTTCTACTGGTTGTTACTTCTTGACTTCTCCAACTAGACTTTGAGGACTGTAACACAACTCTATTCCACTCTACACTGAATCCTTCTTGCACTGAAGAGTATATTATCAATGGAGCTTACTTACAGACAATGCGTCTTGTAAGATGAGCGAGGCACGCAAGCACATGAACAAACTGGTGAATGTTTCAACAAGATTTGAACCACGTCAAAGTATGTCTCCTAGCCATACCAGAGGTCATAACATTGTTCAGCCAGATCTCTTCATAATGTAAATCGAGTCTCAGAAATTACTCACATGCATCACAGAAGTATCCGGCATAGCCTTTCGCGCACGCACACTCAGTATCTCTGATGCAAGTTCCTTGAGGGTAAGAACAATTGAAAGGACACACAGTCCACGGCGTATGTGGGGTGGCAACCGTCACTGCTAGATTGTAAGCAGCTTGGCTTTTAAAACAGGCATCGTTGTTAAAGACACCAATGACGAAGCTCCCCGGGCCTGAGACATATATGTATTGACTATTGAAACGGTTTCGAAAACCATCTTTGTCTGAATACTTGTCAAAATCGCTCCCTGATGGCACTGTCAAACTGCTGTTGGCGTTCCTAGGTTTCAGAAAGAGTGCCGTGTCACCTTGTTCACGAACCAATTCTACGAGAACACGTGCATTCCGATCAAATGCCTGCAAGCAAAGTCCAGAGCACTAAGACTATAGACCGCGATATTTGTGCAGAACTTGGTATCCTAACAAGACGAAATACTTGAAAGCATGACGCAAAGTGCGCAGATCTCACCTCAAATGAGTAATAATTCCACTCCCCAGAACCTACAGTCTGCTGTACGCTGGATTCAAGTTCCACCTGTTTGAGTTCATCCCAGAAGTGTTGAAGAGGCTGCACATCTGCGGAAAAGGAAAAAGGTGCTCAGAAGAACTCGGAGAACTTCAGAGACAGGTGATAAGAACGTTCTTATATCTCAGTACATTTCGACAACCAAATTTCAGAACTCATGAATGAAGGACAACGATGTTAATACCTGTTTCACAAATTGAGTTGCTCTGACTGATGAAGCACTTGCAAGAACCTCTGCCTACACATCGCTGAGACTCATCCTCCACGCATTTGCCAGCACAGTTCTCACTCCCTACAAATACAGAAATCTCGAATTCTCAAAGAACACATCACTCATAACGTTGAAAAGATCAACATATCATACTACTTCAATCTACAGTGCCATATGCGTTGATAACGATGCACGTACCGAGTTGCTTACCTGTGCACCATGATCTTAAAACAAAGCTCACATCCACTGTCCAGGCAGACACACTTGCATACCAGGGAAACTCTTCATCATAATCCTTCAATGAGAGAATCAAATGTGTGTGGTTAAGAAATATCGAACCATCGTCATCTGTACAACAGTTGCCACGTTCACAAATTAGTCCTGCAACAAAGTGACTCCTAAGCTACAATGACAAGGAAATACAGAAAACGCTTTGATTACAATAAACACAAAACAGTCTGACCGAAGATACACTAGAAAGATGCGATTAGACGATCATTTTCATCTTTCAAGGTGAAGGAAGGTACAAGCGAGTCGGCGTCCGGCATCCAAATAAAAGGGACTAGAGGAAGGTAGTGAGACTAGAGTACGAGACAAACTGGCACCCGATATTTGAGATACATGAACCGGATCTTTACGGAGTCTGACTCAAAAATGTACCTATGGTCGCAAACGTGGACCCGGTCTGCGTTCCATTCCTACTGACGTTGAGAACTGGTAGTTGCTCTCTGGTGTCCACCACGAGCAAAAAGAGAGGATCGTGGATGAAACTTCCATATTGAGCTGTCTGGTTGGTAACACGAAGCTCGACATTGAGGTAGCCATCTACATCTTCGCTTGAGCAGCCCTGAAAGTCCACAGGGTACAGTCTATAGTGACCACCGGGCACGGTGTCCAGAAGACATGAATTGTCGGTTGGCAGAGTAATATTTGAAGTCGACTCCTGCAGTGCGGCAGAGTAACATCCTGCAAGACCTGTATTGAGATTCAAACGAACCAATCAATCTACTCCTCGGATGCTAAACCACTTCATACGAGGGGAGAAGGAAAAAAGGAAGGTTGGATCATTAAAAGATAAAAAGCATGGCAAAACAATACAAACAGGTGTACAGAAGATATAATATCACATACTTCATGGATACCTATCACCAGCTCTATTACACAAAACTCCAAACTCTCCCTTTGACTATGCTGCACACATTTTCAAGCGACAAGAGCTACGTCATAAATTGATTTTTCAATAAGTTGGCATATATGGCGCCAAATGTATGCTTACATGTTCATAATCTCTTAATTACGAGTAACGGAGGTTCCAAAATTTGTAATTGTATACGTGAAACGAAAGCTCTGTTCATTCTCAGAGTGCGGACATTGATCGACCTGTACCTAGAAGTAAGCAAAAAGCGTAGGTCGTCCAGCACTGAGGCGAGAAGTACCAATGGTTGCTGTGTCGACTTCGGCTCGGTTGCACCAAAGATGTGCCACAGAAGGTCGAAATCATAACAAAGGTGCCCGGTGAAGGCTTAGCACTAAACTGATAATTCCCCTCCCTCCCAAACCCCTGTCACATACCTCCACGAAATTCAAACAACCGACTTTTCAGATGGCATTCCCCTTCCCCGCTCCCAATCGAGCTAGCAGTCATCAACCAGCTGCTCGCTCCTCCTCTTCCTCCTCACTTTCACCCGATCAGCTAACACTCAATCATCCCCCAAAGTCTTCATTATCACCACCAACATACTCAAATATTCACCACCGATACGACATCTACTGTCGAGCTGATGACACTTCAGAACCAAGATATTCACCGGCAGCATTCCTACGCTCCGAGCAGATCCCGCACAGGCGGGTGGATAAACACACTCACTCACTAACTCGCTCTCTCTCTCTCACACTCTCTCACTGATCTCACTGGCCGAGAGTTCAGAACTTCAAACAGTGAAGGATCGGCGCACGAGGAGCAGGAGGGGGAGCTGACCGAGCTGACTGACTGACTGACCGACCGACCGGGGAAGCGAGCAGAGCAGGAAAATTCGTACAGGAGCGAGGACTACGCAGAGCAGAGCTGCAGCTGCAGGCGGCCCTCGATGGCCACAGTCGGCTGGCCTCGAGATATAAGCAAGGCTCGCTTCTCGACTCCTGAACCGGGCCCCACTCTCCGTCCCGACGGTACACCCAACCGTACGAACCCCTCGGGCCACATCAGCCTGCCGCCGATTCGCATGTCCCTCCGTCTTGACGTCACCCTTGATCGTCCGTACACCTCCTACCCTGGCCCTCCGTCGCCTGCCGTCCGTCCCTTCCGCAGTCTTCCTGGGTCGCGTCGCCGTCGCCGTCGTCTCTTTGCGGGCACACTCTGCCCGAAAATTATCACCGATATTTCCCTTCTTCGGAGCCAATTAAATCTTCTGAAAAAAAAATTTGCGGTGGGAGGTAGCCCCAGGCACTAATAGAATAGTTCTAGATAGAACGGCAAAGGAGTTACAGCTGCACTTATTTATCAGATTAAACACACTCGGAAAAAAAGGGGAAAAATGGCCGAACAAATTCTGCATTTTTCCACTTCAGCTCCCGTGTACTCCCCCGTGTCGAAAGCATGCCCTATCGCCCTACCCCTATACCAACAAATATTGCGTGTGCCTGACTAAAGCTTAGTGTAATGTGACAAGAGGTTATGAGTAATGCCGAGAACGCATGTGATTCGTATCGAACAGATACTGCCGCACTATATATAGTAACGTTTCGAATGAATGGATCATTAAAGCAGCTACATCGGGTTAAATCTTATGTTAAAATATTGCAATTCTGAGGATTTATGAACAAAGTATGGAGCTGTAGATTAGGTTGCCAGTGCTGCAAGAGTCAAGATTCGATATTTGATGGTTTCTTTGTTCCGGATGACGACAACAAATGTACTGCAGTGAGTGATAAAGGACAAGACGTAAAAGTTCATTCGCTTTAATCTTGGCATGGAAAACCCGGGGAGGTGTGCAAATTTCTTATTCCTTCAAATGTTCTATATAAAATAATTGCACGTTTTCTATTGGGTATGTAGTCATGCATGGGTCGTTTATCTTCAAGTGCGATTATCGCTCTGCAAGTAACCCGGTAACGCATGGGCCTTTACGTTACCTTTTTACGTTAATCGTGCCACTTTTGTTTAACTTTAACTTTTAGCTCTACCTCAGGGTAATTAGCCATTTACCTAATAGTGATTTGTAAAGGTTTAAAAATTACCTTAACCTCAGGGTTACCCGGTAAATCTACCTTTTAGAATAAAAAGTAGAGGGAATATGGTAATTTACAAGTTTAGTACAATTGCGTGATGGAATGGAAACTCTCTATATTATATGTGTAGAAGTCCGTCATGTGCAAGAGGTTAATCTTTAACTCCTTGTCTACACTTTGTTCTTTCACGAGATTATGCAGAACAGCGATTGAGGTCGGAATTACCAATTTGGCTTAAACTTGCATTGCTGTTATCTGGATACCGTTAGGAAGACTGTGCATAATTATATTATGAGTAATTCAGGGTCCACTTTTTTGTGTTTTCGCTGGTATGAGGGTTACCCCGTCACCCATTTGGCTCTACCTCCACCTTACCATATAGCCAAATCTCTAACTTTTACCCTTACCTTTTAACCTTATATCGGGTAACTCTACAAGGTTATCTTACCTTGCCGAGGCCTAAATGCGACTGCGTCAATCAACGGAGACGTCATTGTCAATACGCATCACAACAAAATGGCATATTAAACTATGCAATTGGAGCCTCATGGCTGTAAAAGAACTATATAATAGTATAGCCAAACCCATAGACATACAAGGTTCTATATTGGCTAATTTGAGGTTATTGGTATTCTTGATCTCTAAGTAATCATGGCATGCACTCAAACATTTATGTGTTTGATGATGATAGTTTATATTCAATTTGTAACAACAAAAGACACACATGAAAACTTGATGTTGCAATCATACTTATGATTTTTTACCACCTCTAATAGTCATAATTATTTATAATTTAACTATAAAATACTACATTTTATACTCAAATATGATTAAGAAAAACCCTAAAAGTGCATGATTTTTAACAATATGAATGCATATTCTTTTCATTGACTTATGACAATGTATATATAAATTAATATTTGACAAACTAGTATTGAGAGTGTGGTGCTTAGTTTTTTTTGTTTTTCTTCAAGGATCAACAAAACTTAAACATATTTGTATAGAAGGTAGACATATGAGTTAGAAGTAGTAGATTTAGAGAAGTTATGATAGAATTAGTTAGAATTTGGCTTCGGCCGAAGATCTTTGGATCTTCGGCGCAGCCATTTCTGGACAGTGCAAGATCTGAGTCTTCGGCGAAGACATCGAAATCAATTTAGAATACGCAACGGGCCGGACAACGTTCGCACGCGTCGAGAATTCTACTAGGGGCGGGAGGAGGCAATGTTAGGGCATTGAGGGAAAAGTAAAGGCAGAAGCAAGTGCGCTGACATTGCGATACCGAACAAGAGCGAGCGCTGAGGAAAACGGAGAGATCGATCGACATCGATTCCACGACGACGTGAATTGAAGACATGGCGCCGCCAAGAATGGATGGAAGACCGCCGACTACAAGGATCCAAAGAGACGGGCAATAGCGTTGGGCATTATACACATCCTAAGACCGACGCGAACGACTTATGTCACATCTTGGCAAGTGGGGTTCTTCGAACGAGTCATGAAGGTACAGTGGGTGCACTGGGTAAGAATCTTTTACCAAAAACTTACCAAAGAGTTACCCAAGACTTCGTTATGACATGATTCAGTGGTGATTTTTGTGGACAAATTGAGCAAGATGATTCACATCAGGCCAACCACAAAAACAGTAACAGCTCCACAACGAACTCAATTGTATCTAGATGCAGTTTTTATGAATCATGGCTTAAACAAAGTGTTAATCACGGATAGAGTTACTCACTTCATTAGTTTATTTTGAAAAACTTTGTTTAGTTTTTTCAAAACAAAACTAGCAATGTCAAGGGCCTATCACCCTCAAACTGATGAACAAACGGAGAGGGCAAATAGAACCATGGAGTATATGCTACGAGCATTCACATTAGAAGAGCAAGAAGAGTGGGACAACCTTTTGCCACTTGTGAAATTTGCATATAACAATTCTGTTAATGCATCCACAAAAGTGTCTCCATTTTTTCTTATGTATGGAGCTCATACTATAACTCCTTCAAGTTTGATGAGACTTCCCAAAGGAGAGGAGTTTTCGACCAAAGTTGCAACAGTCAACGAGTTTGTGGAGCATATTCACCGAGGACTACATCAGGCCAAGGAGAAGTTGGTGATAGCTCAAAATCGGAAAAAGCAGCATGCCGATACTCATCGTAGAGAAGTGGTTTTTGAGGTTGAAGATCACGTTTGGTTATCTACAACAAATTTGTCTCTTGTAGGAACACCAAAGTTGAATTCTAGGTTCATTGGTTCATTTTTGGTTTTGAAACGTGTTGGTGAAGTGTCATACAAGTTGGAACTTCCGTCACATATGAAAATACACCCAATATTTCATGTGTCACGACTGTGAAAACATGTACCACGACCAAAACAATTCACCAACCAACCAGCACCACCTCCTCTTCCAACCTTGATAGCAGATCATGAGGAGTATGAGGTAGAAAAGATACTCAAGAAACGTATTCGAGGTCATAAATATCCCAAAGTAGAGTTTTTGATTCAATGGAAAGGCTATACATCGTATGAATCAACTTGGGAACCAGCTAAAAATTTAGCAAATGCACCTTTGTTGACCTGATGTGAATCATCTTGCTCAATTTGTCCACAAAAACCACCAGTGAATCATGTCCTAACGAAGTCTTTGGTAACTTACATACAAGATCCATGGTAGCATGTTTTCACCGCTGTTCGGGAATAGGAAGAGGTTATAATGGACCCGCTGGTTTTTGATTACTTGCCTTGTTTTGTTGACAAGCAACACACTTCAAACATAAGACTCCACATCCTCACGTATTTTGGGCCAATAGTACACTCGTTGTATACTCTCCACGGTTTTCTCCACTCCCATATGACATGACATGCAATGCTTGTGTCATGACTTTCTGCCAAAATCATTGTGCGCAAATCGTGATCTTGTGGAATCCATATACGCTGAATGTAAAACGCCAAACCTCGAGATTTCTCTGCCTTTCCAGTGTATAGTGCCCGAGTGATGTCTTCATCCTCCTTTGTGGCTTGTGTCATCTTGTTCCACCAATGAGCCTGAATTTTTACTTCCGCAACATGATTCAAACAAGGCATGTGTGTGAGAGCATCTGCAAGTTGCTTCTTTTCCTCCACGTATACAATCTTCATGTTGAAGCGTTGACGACACTCTGCCCATCGAATTTGTCATTTGGACAGATCCTTCTAAGTTTCCAAAGAAACCAAGGGTTTATGATCGGTCTCCATCACAAACTCCGTATCATCCAAGTAATGCTTCCAATGTTTGATTGCCAACACAATGACTAACTCTTCCCGTTCTGTCGTATGATAATTTTGTTCCGCCGCCATCAACTTTCGAGAATAGAAAGCAACTCGATGCCATCCATCCTCCCATTCTTGTTGAAATATGCCACCTACTGTTATACCTGATGCGTCAGTAGCCAACTTGATAGAACGGTTAGGATCATACCACTTGAGAATAGGTGCGTGTAACAAAGCATCTTTCAATGCTTGAAAAGCTAACTCTTGAACTGTTTCCCATCTCCATTTTTGACCTTTTCCAACATGGAAGTCAAGGCCTGAGCTAGGCGAGCAAAACCTTTCACAAATCTACGATAGAATCCAGTGAGCCCTAGAAAACTTTTCAATTGAGTTTGATCCTCAGGTGCTATCCATTTCTGAATGGCATCTATCTTCTCACTCATCACTTGGATTCCTGTAGCTGTAACTCTATGACCCAAGTAATCTACTTCTGACTTGCCAAATTCACATTTTGAAGCTTTGGCATACAATTGATTGTTTCTTAAAACTTGAAGTACCTCTCGTAAATGACTTCTATGATCACTCAAAGTTTTGACATATC